GCCGCAATCCCTTCTCCTCCATTCTCCTCTCGGGATCTTGGGCACGCATGCACACGCGCCCGGCGTGAGTTTTAAGCCACCGGGTCCGGGACACGAACCGCGGTCGACTACGTGGGAGTCCAGCGACATAGCCATTATGCTAACTGCTGGTTCCCCAAAAAATAATTCTTGAAAAAGTAAAGTAAGACTTTCAAAATTAGTTCAGACTGGGGCCAGCAGGTGGTGTGGTGGTTAAGGGCGTTGGACTCCCACGTGGCTGATCACAGTTTGAGTCCCGGACTTAGTGGCTTGCTTTCTCACTTTTTCTTTTTCCCTCTCTCTCACTCTGTCTCTCTCTGGTCACATGAAAACAAACAAATACAGTTAAATAAAATAACTCTTAAAAAAAGAAAGCATTAGTTCAGAACAGTCTCTTCTAAAAGAGCAACTGGGAGGCCGGCCCATGGCAGAGGGGTTCCTGCAGGACACAGGAAGCTGGGTCCCTCATGCCTAGCCGCAGTTCAAATTTTGGCCCTGGCAGCTTCACAAGCATGCCAAATGTGCATGCGCCTCCATGCTCAGGGTCCCGACAAGTTAGAGAAATGGAGGAAAAAGGAGTGTGGCATGACCAGGCCCCAGGCCCTGGGCAGTGAGGAGGGGGTGCTGAAAACGTCTCAATTTTGATAATAAACACCACATATCCAAGAAGCTCAGTGATTTTCAAATGGGATAAACCATACGGGGTCAATACCTAGACACATCCTAACTGTGGGAAGGGCCAGCTCTTTGGCACAACCGAGAGGAAATTCACCACTCAAGAGAAGCCAGATCCCATGTGGCGGCCATGGCTCCAACCCCCGGCCTGGGCAGCCCGAGTGCCACGCATGCCTGTGAGTACCCGGGATCTGATGGGCGGGAGGACAGGAGGGAGGGGATCACGTGACCAGGCCTGTCGGGGTGTTCGCCGCTCTCCCTCATGTACCTGCATGTGCTCTCTCATGGATAAAGAAGAAACACAAGGGGGCTGGCAGGTGGCGTGGTCGTTAAAGGTGCTGGACTCCCCCATGGCCAACTGTGGTTCGAGTCATGGACTTGGTGGCTTTCTCTCTCTCTCTCTCACTCTGTCCCTCTCTGGTCAAATTAAAATAAACAAATAAGTAAAGGTAAAGAAAATAATTATTGAAAGGGACCAGCAGTAGGCATAATGGCTATGTCGCTGGACTGCCATGTAGTCGACCGCAGTTCAAGTCCCGGACCCAGTGGCTTAAACTCACACCGGGCGCGTGTGCGTGCGTGCCCAAAATCCCGAGAGGAGAATGGAGGAGAAGGGGTTGCGGCGTGGCCATCCCCCCCGGGGTGTGATTTCTTGCTTTCTGTCTCTGTCTCTCTCTGTCTTTCTGGCGAGTGCATGTGCCCTATGGCAAAAAAGAAAAAAGAAAGGGAAAAAAAGGAGAAAGGAGCATGAAAGAAGTGAACAGATCCTCACGGTTACAGGAAGTCCTTGATTTATGCTGGTTTGACACCCGCCTTTTCAACTCTGGGGTGGGTTTATCAGAATAGTACCTGTATTTTCTTTTTAAAATGATGATGACGATGACTTTCTTTTATTGCTAGAAGGGCACATGTACTCACCAGAGAGAGAGAGAAGGCAGCGTCCACCCACTGGGGTCTGGTCACGCCACAATGCTTCCTTCTCCGCTCCCCCTCCTATCAGGATTTGGGGCATGAATGCACATGTACCTGACATATTTTCCTTTCATTTTATTTTTTCATTTTTTAAAAAAGAATTACTGGGCTGGTAGATGGCATGGTGGTTAAGGGTGCTGGGCTCCCACACTCGACCATGTCTTTGTGTATTTATTTATTTATTTATTTTATTAATTATTATTATTTTTTTTTGGAGAGGTTTTTGCTATAGGGCGCATGCGCTCGCCAGACAGACAGACAGAGAGACAGAAAGCGAGAAATCACTCCCCAGGGAGGATGGCCACACCGCAA